AAAGTTCGTTGTCGCTTACCAGCCAGAGTGCGCGGCTCTTCCCCCAGCTTGCTTTCACTTCTGCCCCACTGACTCAGCCCGGCTCCTCCTCCCTCCTCACCGCCGAGGCCGCTGCGCAGCTTGGCCTACAGCCGCCCGTCAGCGTTAACCCCTTCCGCGCCGCGGAGCTCCCACGCCCCCGACAGCACAAACCGTGCTGAGTCTAACTTCCAATGCACTTCCAGACTTCTACATACAAGAATATCTGTTTTCATCTTCAAAGCAAGGAGAACTAGATTTGGAAGGATGAACTCGTTATGGCTGGTGTTTACAAGGCCTTACGTCTCCTAAATGTGAGTTTCGCTAAACAAATAGTAAATAACGCGTCAGGGAAATTTCACATTCCCGTCTGGTTCAATGTCTCGTTGAGTTTGTGTTTCATTTTTTTTTTTGCCAATCTACAAAACCTAACAGAAACAATGAACTTGTTTGCGTAGACTCGGTATTGGCATTTGAGCAGAGCACACAGCTTTGACTCGCGGGTAACACGAACAATTGCTTTTTCAAACTTTTGACATCAAATAATACAAACACAGTTGTTTTCCTGGCGTATCCAAAAAAGACAAGTGAATAAAAACAAAACAAAAGACAATACATAGTCAATTTTAAAAATGCGTTATTTGTATTTTATATACATCAATTGTTTCGATTTATTTTTCACGTTTTTAATATTGCATTTTCATCTTATAAGCCTTAAAGGAGGGAGTAGCTCAAGACCATATTGTTTTGTGAATCAGATATCTACCCAGTATTGCTAACATATTAAGCGATAAATGTTCTCTTTCCGTATCACATCTTGCAAAGTGTAGCATAACATCAAACTTCTTCAATCTAATTTTCTCATTTAAATACTCAAAAGGGTTCCAGGTCTATCCAAAACACCTTTGTATTCCACAGGTGGCAAATACAGTACATGTCAGAGTTTCCTTTCCAGCCAGGACCTCTCAGATCAGCAGCTGCTCAGCTACCTCCAGGGCCTGGTGAAGGAACTCTGACATTGCAAGTGCAATTCAAAGTGCCAATACATGACATGTCCTTGGTGAAAAAGAAGGTACTGTACTTTGCTGCAATAAGAACACTTTTTGCTAGTTATTATGTACTTTTATCATAATCATTCTAGTTCTCTGATACTTTGGTAATCGTTTTAATACATGAATACAGGTGATTAACACATTAGTTCCCTATTATGTTAACACAGTATTACTGTATATACAGTATGTATTTGTAACAATGTTAAAAAGTGACACATTTTGCTTGCTAACACTTTGCCTAAGTTAAATGTGGTATTTCAAACAACGCCTAGGTATTTTATATAATGCATAGTCAAAGTACATTTTTTCATACTTTGTCAAAAACTGCCAGAAGACATGGCATGACATGAAGAATGTCTTGGCATTTCATACCTTACTGTATCTATTTTTTATACTTTCCTTTTTAGGCTTTAGTGATAAATCTTGTCAGCAAGGATTTTACTTAAATTAGTAACATAGTAACAGAACACCCCATACAAAGCATTACATTTTAATTGTAACATCCTGTTCAGTCATTAAGTGGGTCATTATGATTTCCCAACAACAGCTGACAACAACCTGTATTTGTCCAAGTACATTACGTCAGTATAATAATCATCATCCAGGTGGGGCTGCACATTGGTGGTGGTAGTGGGATTCCTCATTACCTGTAAAGCGCTTTGAGTGGAGTGTGCAGAAAAGTGCTATATACGTTTAAGCAATTATTATTATTATAATCAGCAGCAGCATCTATCCAGGAGATTGCTGAGCTGCAGAAGAGAAGCACCGAGCTGGAGCAGCTCTCTGACAGCCGGGACCAAATCCACTTTCTACAGGTCAGTAGTCACTTCTTCCCATCCACAGAGCTCTGAGCTGCAAATGCAGTGTTGGAAACACTCGGCACTCAACCTAATTTTCTTATGCCAGACACGTCATTGGCACAGTTACGAATCTGGAGGTCCAGATCTTTGTACGCGTCTGTGCAAATGTTGCTGGAATGGTACTGGCCCCTGCCCGACTGTGATCTCTCTCTCCTTCACGTCAACAACTTGTCCAGTTACAGCCGTGGTGTTAGGTAGAAATCTGCAGCTAAGGGTAGGAAACTTCCCGGGAAAAATCAGATTGCCGTTGGACCTGCAAGTGGCACTCTTCCCTGCCTACCAGTGAGCCAGTGAACCAGTTCTCCAGGGGACCGGGGCTGCTGTGCTACAGGACATGCATGAGATCCCTTTATTAATCATATACCATGATTGCATTAGGAATTTGTCTTTTCACATACCCCCGCTTGCTCTCCACCCAGACAGAGAGAGAAGCTTGGGGTCAGAGCACAGGGTCAGCCATTTATACAGCACCCCTGGAGCAATTGGGGTGAAGGGCCTTACTCAGGGGCCCAACAGAGTAGGAGTCCTCTGCCGGCTGCGGGATTCGAACCGGCAACCTTCCAGCCACAGGCGCAGATCCTTTGCCACAGAGCCACTGTACCGCCGTTGTTTCCTTCGGGCGAAACATTAAACCAAGGTCATGACTACTTGGCTTTGAGAGATCCCCATGGTGTTATTCGAAGGAGCAGAGGTATTAGTATACACACACACAGGACAGCAGTTAAACCAGCCAACATGTCCATGGAAGGCAGGGTAGAAACCCCACAAGGGGGCGTGGGTATCATGCAAACTCCACACAGAATGTGCTCCTATCGAAACCAGGATCCATGAGCCTTGAGGCTGGGGTGCTAACCAGCACCTCACTGCCCTCAGACAACCCTTATGTAAATTAATAAATGAACACTGCTGCCGATTTAGTGCCTGTAAATAAATTTTGTGATTGCTTACCGACGTATGTTTGTTGCATATTAAGAATAAAGCCCATTTACACATAGGATGCCTTAACCATTGACATTTATTTTGAATATATTTACACTTTGCTTTAGTAAATCAGAATACTCGGAAAAAGAGAAACATAAGGAAACGTGGCTGGGACATTTAAAACATGATCAATCATAAACAATAATGAGGAGTTTAAATCTAAGCAATTTATAAGACAGTTTGAAATATTAGGAGCTTAAAAAAATGGGATAAAAACACTTGTCTTCTCAGCTTGTACATATTTAATGCCCTTAAAGGGGAACTGCAAGGCTATTTTTATATTATGGAATTAGAAAGAATCAGCAATGATGGGTGCATTCCTAACCACGATAAAAGTCAAATGTATTGTGTAAAACCTCCAATTTAGGTCACAAAATAGAGGAAATTACCAGGTATGTGCAGCGCCATGTTCTGCGATTCAGAACGAGGCAACAAGACCTCCGGTGAGGTGAAGCAACACTGTAAACACGCAGGCTTGTGAATCTGTCTCTCTTAATCCAAGAGAAATATTGCTCTCTACTGCGAGACAGTTTTGCCAACAAATACCACTCGCTTGTTAGCTCTGCAGGCAGGTCACGCTGGATCATTTCTGCGGTGAAAAGTCTGCTGCACAACCTGTACTTCTACTTCACTACATTAATCATTACAGTGACTAGTGAGCAGGAAGGGCCTCACATCACAATTAGCACAAACTCTCGGCAGCATGGCGACTATCCAGTACTTTCACAACGTTCACGATTCTGTGCCTAATTTGGAATTTGTAAGATTTTGCGATACCCTCGATTCATTCATTTTGCTGATTTCATAACTGGCCCGAGAACTTGGGACTGCAGGGCCCCTTTAATAGGCGGGTCAACGGCAGACTCATTTTCACTCACGCGCGCTCAGTTTGTCTGCGTGACTGGGGAGATGATCAGGGGGGCAGCGCTGGTGCCGCCATCCCAGAGACAAGTATTGAAATAGGGGTGGAGTTTCTCAGCGAAGGTGTCCCTGAACGTGTGGATATGAGACCCGGCCTCTACGTTGTAAAAGGAGACCTCTCCCGCCTCGTAATCCAGGTACACCCCCACCTTCTGCGGCTGCGGGCTCAGGGAGAAGGAGGAATGGAGTCTCTCGGAAGAAAAGTAGGTGTTGCCCTCCCTCAGGAGCAACGCCCAGTAGCCGTTGGACAACTCCGGGCCCAGGTTTGAATTCCTTGTCACAGATGCCCGGGCCACGCCCAAGTCCCACTTCGTTTTACCCCCCACCGCCACCTCCCAGTAGTGCCGCCCCGAGGTGAAGCCCTCCCGGCCCAGGACGCGCACGATCTGATCGAACCTCTCCGGGTTGTCGGGGAGCACCTGCTGTCGCTCCCTGTGCCTCACTCGCTTCCCGTCCTCGGACAGGACGAGATTGGGATGGGCCGTGCCGGGGTCCAGAGTCACGTCAGCTGTGGGAGGGAAGAGGAGGCGAACAGGACGACGAGGTTAATGGGGCAGAGAGTTCAAAGCGCGCGGCTCGCGGTGGTGGGGTTAGGCCCTATGGTCGTATAGGAAGCTCAAGGAGGGAGCTGTGGGAGGAGGCTGCAAAGGAACAGGTAAAGGTCTATTCCAAAAGGAAAGAGACACAGGGTTTCGGCAGTGGAGTCTTCTTCAGCCCTTCCTCGGGTATCACTGTCTGCAGTCATACTGGTTTTCTCCATGGGGGAATTGGTCATGTGACAGACTTGCCAATGTCTAATGAACCTGATTGCTATCCCACAACCACCCAGAAACTTCCTCACAGACCCCCGCCAAGGGTTTGTGACTGCTTGGTGGTCGTCACGAAAGGGATCTGGTCGCCCCCTTTCCTCCCATGTGCCAAGGAGACACACCCTGCCCTTCTTGCCCGTACGGAATTGATCTCCTACATCCTTCTGTGTTAACCCATGATAAAACTACTGTACTGTACGTCTTGTGAAGAATTACACAGGCCCACGGGTTGCACACCTGCAGGGGTCTGCACGCTACCTGCTAGCATTAGTCCATGATGAAAGAGTGAAACGCACCTGGGAGTAGCACCCCAGCTGAAACATAGGATTCGCAAAAGCAGCAGGAGTAAAATCCAGCCATTAAGAAGCAAACGTGTGGAACCAAGTCTTCCGTTATTTTTTTTAAAGGATACATGTGGGCCACACGGCCTTGCCTAACTGATGGCATTCAGGCCGGTACAGATATTCATATTCTTTTAACATTTTGCATCGGCATGGTAGAAAACAACGTATTTCATTGGAAGTGAGGGTTTCCATTCACTTTGTTCAAATTAAAAGGTAGACAAGATGTGCATAGTTGTTCAGGATGTGAGGAATCGCACAAGAAGATCTTTAAGTGCACAATGAGGGACTGCGGATTCTCTCCTAGGTTGTGGGACACAAAGAAGACATTAAACTCTACCTGTTCCTCTTGGACCTGAGGGCAGTATTGAAATACTCAGTGGAAAGGGCGTACCTGCATACTTCCGGATCCTCTTTAACTCTGGGGGGCGGGAAAAAAAGGAAAAATTGGACATCAGTTCTGCAAGAAGAAAATTCTACACTGGAGCGAAACAAGAGAATAAAATACTCAGATTTTAGTTCAAGGGACGCTCTAAGACAAAAACAGTGTTCATTTTGCTCTCTTTCTTTTCACGTTTGTTTTGTAGGGTCTCGAACGGGTGACAGACTTGCCAATGTCTTATGAACCCGACAGGTAACCCACACCTACCCAGAAACATTTTCACAGACCCACACTGGTGGTTTGTGACTACTGTGGTTGTCGAAAGTGTGGTCTCGTAAGCTGTCTGGTTATCCCACCTCATCCTGTGTGCCACTGAGAGACACGCTCGTTCATGCCCTGACATCCTCCATCCTTCCTCTATGTGTATGGTTTCTCCACAAGAACTATGGTTCTGTAGTGGATAATGGCAGCAGCTAAATCACCCTCCAACTCACAGCTTGCAGCCCCACTGAAGCTCAGCAGGTGTGAGTCTGGCCAGTACCTGGATGGAAGACTCCTGGGAAAGCTGAGGCTGCTGCTGGAAGAGGTGAAGTGGGACCAGTAGGGGGTGCTCACCATGTGGTCTGTGGGGGTCCTAATGCCCCAGTATAGTGATAGGGACACTAAACTGTAAAAAAGGCGTCCTTCGGACAAGACTCTTAGTGGTCATTAAAAGTCCCAGGGTGTTTCTTGAAAAAAGCAGGGGTGTTACCCCAGTGTCCTAGCCAAATTCCCCCTGGTCTTGACCAATCATGGCCTCCTAATAATCCTCATCTCTGAACTGGCTTCATCACTCTGCTCTCCTCCCCACTGAGAGCTGGTGTGTGGGCAGAGTACTGGAGCATCATCTGGGTGGGGGCTGCACAATGTAAAGTGCTACAGAAGTGTAAGGAATTATTATTATTATTAAAAACAATGCTCAACCTGCATTGTTGTGTTGTATGTAGCCAGGCTGCCAAATATAGGAAATCAGGAGGTGGATGTGAGAGACATGGTTCTACTCACTGATTTCTGGCAGTTTCTCTATTTCTTCATGGAGTCTGGCTTCCAGTCCAGCTACAACATTCCTCACCATTCCCAAACTGAGGTCAGCGTGGACCGGGTTGTCAGAGCACTTCTTGGGTGGTGAAGGGGAGCAGAGGGACAGGAATCTCTGCAGCAAGATAAAGGAGAGATCCGAGCCATTCCTTTTACACGGACGCATACGAAGATATCGGACTCCAGATTCGTGCCACCGATGATACCCATACCATTGCTGAGCCCTGAACTGGGCAGCTCTACAGCCTTCTCGCTCAATGAGTTCTTCTAGATTCTGACTTCAACGCCAAGTGTTTCTTTACACTACATTTCCAGCTGTGTGTATGGGGTGACTGCCCATTGGAAGCAGTGACTACTGACCTGTAGAAAGTGAATTTGGTCCCCACTGTGAGAGAGCTGCTCCAGCTCAGTGCTTCTCGTCTGCAGCTCAGCGATCTCCTGCTCCAGCTCTGTAATGAGCCCCTCAGCCCTCTTCTCTTCTGCTCTCTGCTTCTCCTCAATCAGTGCGATGAGCTCAGCCTGGCTCCTCTCCACGGAGCGCAGCAGAGCGGCGAAGACCTGAACACTCTCCTCGATCTCTCTCTGCGTGTGGGTCTATGGGGACAAGAGAGGCAGTATGGAAAAACAGAAAGCAGTAGCACCGGTTTTGCTCGTGAAGATATCCAAGAGATCAGAAAAATCGTCATGAATTGCTTTTCGCTGAGCACTGAGCCCAACATTACACCCATCCAGCGGGACTCACTTTCATGAGCTCCACCGACTGCCTGATCTCCTCCACCTTCTTCTGTCTGTCCTGGATCATCTGATGCACTTCTGCTTTATTGGCTACCAGCTGAGGCTGCGGACAGGAAGGGCAGCAGATACTTCAGTCACCCCTGGTGGCACGCGAAAGCTGGACAGTCTGTTATTAGGACATTATTGGACACATGATACCGATTATGAGACATGGTCTCACTGCTGGGAACCTGTGGCTGATGTGACCAGCACCTTCATCCCAAGGACGTTCCACACCACAACCTCAGCCATCGACGATTTTCAGAAGGCACAGTAATCAGCTGTGTGGGACTTGGAATGAGCTCCTGTGAGACTCAGAGCGGTCAGTTTCCAAGGCCATAGATTAGAACACCTGACGAATGTACCCAGTTTAAAGCCAAGCCCACACCATTGGCTTCCAGCAGCTCACGTCTGCATGGCTAAGACTCGTGATAAGGACCTTGCATTCACGAGTACGTAGATGAGCAGTCCCAGGAGTTTCACTATCGGTTTGCAAGTTTGAGGCAGTTGGTGAAGCAGGGTGGCAGGAAAGGAGATTGCGAAGAGATCTGGAATTGTTGCATTGTGCATATCATCGAAAATAGATTCATTTGCAATTCGAATTATTTTGTCCACCCCTTGTTCAAGCCAATGGAAAGAATATGCAGTTTTAGATTCGATTTTTAAATGAACTTGAACTTTTTCGCCATATGTAACCGGTACATGTACTGGTCCAATGGAATTCTTAATTACTGAAACTCTCTAGATTGTTAAAACAAGTGTAAAAACACAAAGTGCAGACAGTGCATCAAGACAATATACAAACAAACAGTAGACAATGTACAGGTAAACAGTTTGAATGTAAACAATGCAGACATGTAAACAGTGACTGCAGATGTGCAATCAATAAGAAACCATAATGAGGTAGATCATGTAGGTGTGGTCCGAGGGGCTCCCGGCCCCTTCGAAAGACCCGCTGGGGCGTCAGCGCAGCACACACCGGCGCTGTCAGGGGCGCCGGCAGAACAGAAACTTCACTGAACTGCGGGGGCCCCCAGTTCTGGTCCTGGGGTTCAGACACGTGCTGGTTTGTGGATTTATTGAAATGTGCCTTGAATGAAGCCCATCCATGAGCTGGGTTCCATCACGCCTCCCCATGGGCAGCTGATGTTCGGTGAGCAGACTGGTGAACCTTGGCAGCAAAGTCGTAGAGGAGAACCATAACCCAGAGGGCAAGGGGACTGGCCACTGAAACCCGCAACTGGCCACTGAAGCTCAGCAGGTGTGAGTGGATTTTCCGTGGGAGGAGGTATCAACCGACAGAAAACAATCTGGCATCTGCCTGATGCGGTCTGTCTAAATCCCTTTAGATACAGATCCAGGCAGAAACAGGCGCTTGAGGCCTCTCCTGTCCTGAGAGCACACCCGCCGCTGTCAGAACAGTGCCGTGTCCATATCGCTGCGGGGGGCTTCGGCCGGCTCAGCCAGTGACGCGCTGTGCACTTCATGTGCGTGCGGACATCTGACTCTGGCCTGGGGTCTTTTACTGCTGACCTGGCGTGGATGAATTTTAAACAGATCCCTGCTGTTGCTGTACGTGACATCTCAGGGACAGCCGAGAGGCGAGGATAACGTCATCAGGAACAGCAGCAGGATCACCTTCAACTCATAGCTGGCAGCCCCACTGGAGCTCAGCAGGTGTGAGTCTGGTCAGTACCTGGATGGGAGACTCCTGGGAAAGCTAAGGGTGCTGCTGGGAGAAGTGTTAGTGGGGCCAGCAGGGGGCGCTCACCCTGAAGTCTGTGGGGATCCTAATTCTCCAGTAGAGTGACTGGGACACTATACTGTAAAAACGTGCTGACGGATGAGATGTAAAACTGAGGGTGTTTCTCAAAAAGGGTAGGGGTGTTATCCTGCTGTCCTGACCAAATTTCCACCTGGTCTGAGCGGGGCGGTGGCTCTGTGGCTAAGGATCTGTGCCTGTGGCTGGAAGACTGCCAGTTCAAATCCCACCACTGCAGGGGAATCCTACTCTGTTGGGACCCTGAGCAAGGCCCTTAATCCCTTAAACTGCTCCAGGGGAGCTGTACAATGGCTGACCCTGCGCTCTGACCCCAAGCTTCTCTCCCTGTCTGTGTGTCTCATGGAGAGCAAGCTGGGGTCTGTGAAAAAGACAAATTCCTAATGCAAGGAATTGTATATGGCCAATAAAGTGATCTGATCTTATCTGCTCTTTCCCAATCATGGCCTCCTAATAATCCCCATCTCTGACCGGGTTAGGGTAGTGGTGCACTGTGGCTGGGGATCCCCATTACCTGTACAGTGAGTGGAGCAACCAGAAAAGTGCTATATAAGTGTAAGTAATTATTATTATTTTTTTTGCTCTAAATAATATGTCCCTTTTCCCTCCTGTGTTTTCACCCCCTGTGAAAGAGTGGAGGGAGTTTCTCAGTAAAAGTGTCAGTGAGAGTGTGGTTGTGAGTCCTGGTCTCCATGCTGTAACAGTAGACCTGCCTTTCCTTGTAATCCACATATATCCCCCTCTTCCCGGGCTTTGGGCTCAGGAAGTGGGCTGTACACCTTCCGTCTCCCAGTACTGGTCTCCCAACACTCAGAGCTGTGGAGCCTTTGCAGTGGTGATGTTGTCGAATCACTCGGAATTGTCAGGAACGGGCTGGACTTCCCTGTCCAACTGTAATGTCCTGGTCTCACGCTTAACTAATGTATTTACTAAGAATTGATTGTATTGCATCTTAAAATCTCATAAAGTGAGTCAAATAAAAACATTCATAATAATAATTTCTTACACAATATATAGCACTTTTCTGGACACTCCACTCAAAGAGCTTGAGAGGTAATGGGGACGTCTGACAGTGCTATATGAGTTTGTAGCACCAGAGGGCGCTCTAAGTCTAGTTACTTCACGCACGTCAGTCGCAAAGTCTTTCTGTTCTTGCAGGAAGTGTGAAGCCTGTCGTTCTCAAACACTCGAAGCAGATTTTAATATCATGTTGTGACATATCAGTGCTCTTCTCCTGGATGGTTCTCCCACTGTTTCCTTGAGCTAGGGGGTGTTTCAGAGAGGAGAGTGACAGAAGGGACCATCTGTGTCTGAGCCAGACTCCACTGTCACCCCCCTTCTTCGCCCCGGGGGGGGGCAGACTTGGTGTTGCCCTGCCAAGTGATAGCAGGCCGGCTGGCACTTGTCCCAGGCGTGTGTCCCTCAATCAATCGGTCGATCGATCAAAGTCTATTTATCAAATGCACCAACAGCACAGCGTGCGGCAGCAATCGCTGGCAGTGCAAGATCTTTTCTGCGAGCTCACCTTGGGGGGTGGGGCATAAAAATAAAAATCACAAAATTAAAAGTTACGGGATAAGGTTACGTAATAATAGTGCAATAAAAAATTGAATTAAAACAACTGAATATAAACAGAACTGCTACATATCCAGGGTGTATGCGATACATTATGTCCAAATAGTGCAAAATGCAGTGTGCCAAACACAATGGGAAACTGTATGTACCCTGTAACCTGACCACTGAACAAGGTCCATTAGGGTGGTTGTTGAAGGTGACAGCTTGGCTGCTTAGCAGTCTTATTGCCTGGAGGCAGAAGCTGTTCTGTAGTCTGTTGGACTTGGACCGAATGCTTCGGTACCGTTTACCGGACGGTAGGAGAGAAAACAGTTTGTGACTGGGATGACCTTGAGAATGGACCTGGCCTTCTTAAGACGTGGCTGAGTAGATCTCCTGGATGTTTGGTAGAAACAGGCCAGCTCAGCGGAGTCCTGGCTGGACGTGTGTTCGAGGGGTCAGTCTGGATCCTGGACACAGGCGCGGGTGTAGCCGAGCTAGTTCGGATACGGTGATGTCATCGCCCTCCCCGCGCGGAGCAGGGACCTCAGCCGCCTGGGCTGGGGGAGGTCTCCTTTAGCTCGCTCGGCTGGTTCCCTCTTGCGTTACGGCAGAGACCCGGGTTCGCGCCCCAGGTGTTGCAGGACGAACCGGCAGGGTGGAGTGGCGAGGGCACGAGCCCCCGCGGAACCGCGGCGGTCACACGGGCGCCCTCCCTTTACACACACAGGGCAGCCTCTGGGACACTGGTCTCTCGGGATGGAGAGTGCACACAGAGCCAATCGGCTCAGACGGGTATCGCTCAGGCATTCTGACGGCGATTCAGACGTCAAGAGACAGAGAGGCAGAAAGGCACGTTTTGAAATTGTTTCATTTTGACTCTTACGCTGAAACACGCTGTAGAGGGTCTGTCTGAAATAGAGCAGCTCAATGTCCTCGGAGATGACTCCTCAGGACTGGCTGTTCAATTCAGACGTCGAGAGACAGAGACTCTCGACGAGAGACAGAGACTGGCTGTTCAATTCAGACGTCGAGAGACAGAGAGGCAGAAAGGCACATTTTGAAATTGTTTCATTTTGACTCTTACGCTGAAACATGCTGTAGAGGGTCTGTCTGAAATGGAGCAGCTCAATGCCCTCGGAGATGACTCCTCAGGACTGGCCGGGAGCTGGGGAGCTCCTCTCCGTTGGCTTGTTGTTCCTGCCCCTCTTTCACACCTGGAATCTGTCAGGAAAACTCTGACTGACACCCGACTCCCCTGCCCACAAATGGAGGACGGGGGGGGCCGCCACCCTCACCTGCTGAAGCTGGCGGTCACGGTCGTCATCCCTCCTCCAGAGGGCGCTCCTACCCTTTTCCGAATTGCTCTTAGTTTAGTCTAAGGGGTCTGCGAAAAGATGAATTCCTAATGCAAGAAATTGCATAGGGCCAATAAAGTGATGTTATGTTATGAGGGCACAGGCGTCATCACGGCGTCCTGACCTCTGAGTCTGGGGCTCGGAGCACCTTGGCCCGTCATGGTTTCACCCTTCCATGTTCCTAGTTCCCCATATCCTGTTTCGAACTGTTTTCGTCTCGGATGGACTGCCCGGCATTGGACATTGGACTGCGCTCCGACTACCCCTTCGGACTTTATTGGACTCGACTCCACGCTGCCGTACAAGAGGGATAGTGCCAATCACGGATAGTGGCGCATCTCTCACTGACAGCATTGCCGTCTGCAAGCGGCCCCCGACTGACCGAAATCAACGTTCTTCCAAAACACTGATCGCCTCTGGCTCGGCTCCACCACAGTTTTCCACTGCCTGGGGGGAACCTGGTCACACCTGGGCTGTGACAAGACCCAGGGTTAAACCAGTGACATCCGAGCTGTAGGGACTCAACCCTAACACACGTTGCTCATTTTGCACTGCTGCAGATGTCAGGACATTTATCAGCGCGGGCAATTTGTCCAGAATGGCCCACACAGAACCCGGTTTTCGAAAAAAGTGCGTCGCAGATGAGGAGAAAAGGAAATGTAAAATTAAAACAAGAGGCGCTGGACAATAGAGTCTTCAAATCCCTTTTATTCAGACACAGGTGAGTGAATAATTCTTGTTATTGAGCACATGTGATGAAGATGGTTTATGTTATCTCCCCAACCAGTGTTTTGTTAGAGAGACTGATGCTGTGTACACAGGTACTCACGTCAGGCCTGTTGCTTTGACACGGCTCAAAGCCAGACATCAGCCTCTTGCACTGATGGGGCGTGGAACTGGGTCTCTCAAGAGTGTTCAGCCCCCAGGCCCAACAGATGGCAGGGTTGGAGGGTTTTAAACATAGTCAAAAAATGGTTTGAGTTTGGGGTTCGCCAGCTGCAGAACAC